AAGAATAGAGAACACCCCCTTTCTCTAGAAGTTGAGTAAACTGACTTGTCTGTAGTCCCTGCCTGGGCAGTTAACTCATATTTATGTTGAGCTGTAATTTACTTCATGAGTATGTCACCAAAGTCAGTGGATCGAGGCACTACTCATTATGAGAGAGATTTCTAGAATCTGGCGTGGGATGAATAGAAAGAGGAAACCACTTATTACAGAGGGTTCAACTGTGCATTCTTTGCTGGGATTGTTGGGTATACTTACTCACACAAGCAGCTCCAGTGAAGTCAACTGAACCACTGGAATAAGTAAATGCTCACCCAACATAAGAGTTGCACAATGTAGTCCTCATCTGGTTTCTTTTATCTGTGAGTTTTAAAGCCTTTCATAAACAAAAGGCCAGACTGTTTAGGCTCTGCCCTACATGTGATGAGGTGCATTGCTGCACAAGAAGCACCATGGAAGAAACTGTGACTTACTGACAATGCCTTTTCTGTTCCTCTCTTGCTCTGATGATAGCAGAAATGTAATATATTCCTGAAAAGGGCACAGTTTACTTCTCCCTTTTCGCTCACTCAGCTTCATTGGCTGGTATATTGGATGAAGAGAGCAAAGGGAAGCAGCAGCAAGAAACCCTGAACCACATTCTGGACAGTGGGTATATCTACACAGCAGTGTTAGTTTGGAATAACTGACATTATTCCTAAGTCATAAAGAGCGTGTCTACATAGCAAGCTGTTATTTCAAAATAATATCGAGCTGGAGGACTTCTTACTCAGACTCATGTAACCCTCATTTCAGAAGGAGTAAGGGAAGTTGAAGGAAGAGTGTTCTTCCTTCAACTTCCTTCTGTGTAGACTGTGCCAAAAGTTGAATTAAGTTATTTTGACTTTAGCTACACAATTGACGTACCTGAAGTTGTGTAGCTTAATTTGACTTTTGCCCTGCTATGTAGACATGCCCAGTGTGGGCTGTTGTGTGTGGGCCTTATATCCTCAACTACCCAGGATGACTGTGTTAAAGGTAGTAATAATCCAGGCTACCTGATTAATCTTCACAGCATCTCCATGGAATACTTATGGATTGTATTAATATCCCTAATTTACAGGTGGGCAATCAGAGGCACAATGAATGTAAATAGTTTGCCAAAGTTACCCTTACAGTCTGTAGCAGAGAAAGGGACACAACTCAGTAACCCTCAATCCTAGTGCTATGCTATATGCACAAGGCCCAATAGCTTTCATGAACCTTGAAGAAGAGTGCACTGACTTCCTCCCACTACTGGTGCCAATGGGAGCAACCAAAGAAAGGGGAAATGCTTCCCTATGCCAGATTTTAAGTTCATTGACCAGAGAATATTCCCAGCCCATGAACCTGGAGGCTCAAAAGAAGTGATTACATAAAAGGAGAAGCTGTTAGCTTTACTAACAAAAATGTCTTTCTACTCTAAGTTTGAACACTATTAGAGTAAAATAAACGAGGTTATTTAATTAAAATGATATATTAACTAGACTGAATTATAACATTTTAAATCTACTATAAATATTTGATATAACAGCTGTGTGATCTTTCTAAATTTGATTGTAAATGTTTTTAGTATCTGAATAAGAAATACATTGCAGCTTCATTTGAAATAAATTATTAAATTGTGTATGTGGGGGGGGTCTCTCCCCAAATATTGTTTATGGTCTGTGGGAAATGGGTATTTCATAGTAATAGGAGAAAAGTGTCTTAAAGTTCAACTCATTATTGGATTTTAGGTTTTATGGCCCCATAACCCAGCAAGGAACTCATGCATGCGCTTTACTTTTATTATTATTAGATGTTCTTATGCCTTCTGATATGTGGCAGCCCAGTCTTTCAACCTCCAGCTGAAAATGCCCACTCTAGCTCTGCTTTAGTCTGTTTCCTTGACAGCAACACTTCTCAATGATTTTCTTCTATGTTTTTATCTGTTGTCCTACTCTTTTCAGTTTGTGATCCAATTGTTCATTAGTAATTCCATCCTATGAATTCTGTGGTTAGTTTTTTTATTCCTGTTGATGAGGCATTTCCCTCAATATACAGGGTATATATACTATACAGCTTAACAAAACATTAATGATTGTCTGTTTGCCCCAGTTCCATGTTTACCTGTGCAATGCTCACAAAAAGCAGGCGTTGTCATTACCATCTTGGACCTTCATATCACTCAATCAGAATGATGACATAAGCAGGAACTTGGTTTAGTACAGCTTTCAAATTGTTGTGAAATGTGTTTTTTGCCAATTTATCACGATCTGAGTAGCTGTGTTAAACTTGTTAATAGTTACTTTAACATTATTTGTAAAAAAATGTGCTCTTATAATTTTGTAGGTTAGCTGGTTTTCATTCCTGTAGCTCTTGTGTTGCCTTTTTAAAGAGTAGTACAGCTACTTCTGTGTGAATATCATCTTATTTTCCTGAATGAAATACTGTTATATTGTCTGAATGGTCTTCCACCTCCAGTTCATCTCATGTTGCTCACTCCAAGAATACTCATTAAAGCAAGGCGTCCAAAGGCACCTTTGAATCTAATAGATTTATTAGGGCATAAGCTTTTGTGGGTAAACCTCACTTCACCAGATGAGTGAATGAATATTAAAAATATATTTTTCTATCTACTTCAGTTCCTTTCCCAGTGCCCCCATGGTTCTCATTTTCCAGCACACAGTTCTAGTTTTAACTATTATGTTATCTTTAGGCCCCTACCAAATTTAGAGCCATTAAAATGTCATGGAATGTGAAATCTGATCTCCTCCATGAAACCTGGCTTTTGTGGGGGGTGGGGCAATGTTGCAGTGTTGCCGCCCTTAATTTTGTGCTGCTGCTGGTAATGGTGCACCCTTCAAAACTGGGTGCCTAGCCAGCATACCTCACTCACCTGCCACCCAACTGTGAAAGCAGTGCTGAAGTAAGGTTGACAATACTGCAATACTCTCCCCCAACACACAATATCCTTGTCATCCCCAGTATGAGAAACATTCACTTACGGGCTTTACAATATGCATAGCCTAATGAGGACCATTGCGCCACACAGAGTGACAACAGTTGACGACTCCAGGCCTCATATACAGGCAGTCCCCAGGTTACGTACAAGATAGGGACTGTAGGTTTGTTCTTAAGTTGAATTTGTATGTAAGTCGGAACTGGTACATTTTTTAGGGGAAACTCTAGCCAAACATTTCTCCAGAGCTCAGTTTTATTCTCCCACACCTCACTTCCCTCAGTCCTTTATTCTCAAGCTGAGGTGTCTGCTGAGAAAAGCCACTCCACGTCTCCCTGGTCTGCTGGGGGGGGAGCGCTAGCTTCGCGTCTCCCTGGTCTGCTGGGGGGAAGCAGCTAGTGCGGGGTTGCCTCACCCCGTTTGTAAGTAGGGATCCGATGTAAGTCGGATCCATGTAACCCGGGGACTGCCTGTAGTGAAGTTCTCAAATCTGGCTCAACCCTGCAAATCCTTCAGTTTCTGAGGAGACCTCAGGAGCAATGCTAGATAGGGTTTGATAACTGATTGAGAATTTGAGATGTTTCCATATTGAGTCATTTTTGTCATATTAGCAACATGGCTGTAAAGCATGCTACACCACAGTTTAATATAATGAGCAACTGAAGGAAGGCCTGATCTTTAAGACTGTGACATTTTGTACAATGTCAGACAATTTTAGGCTCAGTATTTGGTGTGAGACTGCATATGCAAGTCCTTTAGCCACTCCAGAATGAAAAACTTCAGTAATTGATAAAATTTTTGTTCTCTATGAAGCTAGAATAAATATAGCACCACTGTACTGAGTGAGTTGCATGTTGACAAGAAAATAGGATCTAATTCCTCCTCGAATGTTGTCTTCTCCCTCTATGCATGCTGAGATTACTTGTGGCTCTTTTATTGAATATTTGCTAAATAAATAATTGTTCCTGTGCAGATCTACTTGAAAGTTAAGTTTTCCTCCTTTTTGATAAGCAAAGTTTGGCCAGGATCAAAATTTCTGCTTTTTTATTGTTAATAACACTTGTACCCTTCTTGGACATGCATATATCACTGTCTTAAGAAGAGGTGTGTTTTCATCAACTGAAGATCTGCTCAAACATGAATTTCCAATTCATTTATTCATTCATTGTCCAAGCTCAAACAGCATCCAGGGCCAGATACCTGCCCTTCTTGTAGCTAATCTTTGTGGCGTAAACAGGCCATAGTGGCTTTCTGTGGCATTCCCCCAGACAGAGGCAAGATTAAGGTTGCAGTTCAATTCTCTTCCAGCCCCAAAACAGAGACATGCTAGGGCCATGGCTAGTGGAATAAAGAGGAGTTGCCACCCTATTTTCTGTCTGTTTGAGATTGTGGAACGGCTAATTGGCAGGTGAGCAAGAGTGGACCTGCTCCTGGAACAGCCCAGAAATCTCATTATGCCTGAGCTGCATCTTCGGTACTGTAACTCCTGTAAAATGCAGCATAGAATTTTGCCCCTTATATGCAGCCTACACAGATCTTCTTGGTGATGCTATAAATAGCATATTTGCTGTCTGAGTAATTCAGGAAAATGTATTTTAAAAGGATTCTGTGCAGCTTTTTAAACTCTTCTAACAAAGTGCCTGCATGCCAAGCAAGTAACTTTGTTGTGACTGGTGAGAATCTATTGTAAATTCTTGTGCTGTCACAAAATATAGCTGCAAGTAGTATCAACATACATTAGCAGGTGAATGAACAGACAACAGCTTTCACTTACTTTTTGCTTCACTCTGCATTTGCTTTACTCTGCATTTTTTCCAGACAAGTGCAAAAATACTGATTTCTATAGACATTTGTATCATACCTGGTATTCCTGCTTAACCTGTTAGCACGTAGTGAGCCACAGGGAGAAATTACTACATATAGCATCACAATCTTGTTTGAGTCTAATTCCTTTTGAACAGGCCAGGCGACATCTTCAGCTGTTGTAACTGAAGATCTGCTCCTTCATTCTAAATGTAGCACACTCTGAGTTTTTGAAACTTACTTGTGTGATATTACCAAATATTGGCTCGGCTGTTTGAAGAAGAAGCATTTGAAGCATCTTATCTAAACCTATAACAAAGACAGGAAAAGAAAATTACTTCCAAATTTTAAAAGTTAATGCAAATGACTGAAGAAGCAAAAAATTGAATGGGTAAAATAGTCTTATCAATAATAGCTGCAGTGAATGGTGTCACTAGTTAGGGACTGAGCCAAAGCTCATAGAAATCAATGGGAATCTTTCTATTCACTTCACAGGATTTTTTTATCAGTGTCTTAAAGAAGCATATTCCTGTTTGCTTAACTCCCATAAGCAAACCCACTGAGCTGAATGACCCATGTGAGTAAGACAAATGGTTTTGCAGCAGTATATAGACAATGTTCTCTTTCTAATCTGGGTTTGGAGGGGAAACCTGCTCCAAAGGTTCCTATATAATCTTGTTCAACAATGCTGCAAATACTTATGAAGGTCTCTCTCTCTCTCTCCTCCCACAGGTGTGAACATGATTGCATGTTACTTTAAGGTGTCAAAATATTTATTTATTCACAAGAGGGCCAAATCCTGCTCACCTTGCACAAGGGACCAGTACTAGTGACTTCAGTAGGGCTGCTCATGTAAGTAAGGTGAACAAGAATTATTTAATTGTAGAAACTAATTTTATAGAAGGGTTTAAAAATAAGAACAAATTAGGGTACCTCTACACTGCACCCCGCATCTACACAAGCCACACGTTATTTCAAAATATTTTTTGAAATAATGGGCACACTATTTTGCCATCCCAGTATACCTCGTTGAACGAGGGATAAGGAATAGCTCGAAATAGTACATTATTTCAAAATTTGGTGCAGTATAGACACACCAAATTTCAAAATAAACTATTTCAAAATAGTTTTGAAATAAGATACGTAATTTGCGTAGCACAACTTGAGTATCTTATTTTGAGTTTTGGGTATGGAGACGCAATACTGAAATGCATATAAATAAAAAGTAAACAGGGACATAAATCATTAAGCCAGGAATAATCACTGTGCCACTTGCCTTTTCTTTGTTTTAATGGCTCACCCAGAATATAGAGAAATTGCTAACAAATATCCTAACAAATATTCTGTTTTCTATGAGATCACAGAAAAAGGCATCTAGAACCAAAAAAACTCCAAAAACCAAAACCTCCAAAAATATAAAAATCCACCCATCATATAGAAAGCCACTTTTACTTCAAATAGCCATAGATTTCACAATTAATGATTTAGGTTTTTCACTTGCACTGAGCATATGGATTCCCATAATTACATTTGTTGATGCTAGTATATCAGCCTTCTGAATAATCTGTCTTCATGGATAGAAAATGGAGACCTGTCAAGGCCTTCGTTAATGTACTAGTGCACAAACTGTCTGAATAGCTGGCATACCCATGAATCTTTTTAACAAGGGGGAACCAAGGTGACATCTTTGTAATAGAAACAATTGGCCAATAATCAGTTACTTATTAGTATCCCTTGTCCTCAATTTAAGTAAGGATTTCATATTTTAAATCTTAAATCTAATAACTTCCAATTCTGAGAAACCCAGAGAACACAAAAAATTTGAATACAGTAATTCTTCATTTAACACTACAGATATGTTTCAGAAAATGATCATTTTAAGTGAAAACGTGTTATGCGGGGTCAATTTTCCCATTGAAAATAATGGAAAAGGTGGGGGTTGCATTTTAAGCAGTGATATCTGTTGGGACCGGGACATAAGGTTGTGGGAGAAAGGGGACTGGGTTACAGCAGGAAGGGGAGGTATTTGGCTCTGAGGAAGAGAAGGGGAGGAGAAGGGAAGGGGATTGGGTTGGGAGTATGCCTCTTTGACGGGTCTGCCAGGACCTGCACTGCGTCCTGCGAGGAGGACACGGCGAACAGCAAACCCTCCGCCATTTTGTAGGGAGGCAGGGGAAGCCCCGCACAGCTGCTGGTGATGGGCCAGCTGGGGAAACCCAGCCGCTGGCCTGCAAGCAGGGGCAGAGGAGAGGGAGCAAGGCATCCAGTGAGGGGGAGTCGGCGTGGAACGGCGAGCAGTGAACTCTCCACCGCTTTGTAGGGAGGTGGGGGAAGCCCTGCGCAGCCGCCGGAAACGGACCAGCTGGAGAAATAGTGTTATTCTGGGGACAGTCGTGTAATTCAAAAAATGTTCCCTAAAAAAAAATTGTGCTATCATGAAAATATGTTAAGTGGGCACGTGTTAAATGAGGAATTACTGTATGCTTTAAGCCAGGAAATTTATGTGAGGGACCCGCTGAGCCATTCCTCTTTGTATAGCCTTGGAAATACTAGGAATACAAAGCCAAAAAATAAATATTATATTGAAGTTTGGACAAAACAGAGTTAATTACTTTCTTTGCTCTTAAGAAGGGCAATTGGAGTATTATTTGGAAGACCAACAAAGAAATTTGTTCTGAATCCTTTCTGATTTAATGGGCTCATTTTATCCCCATATTTCTGGACCATTCAAGATATGAGTACCTTACTTCAAACAGAGTACACTGGTGCAATTCAATTGCCCCCTTGAGCTGAAATAAGTGTAACATAGTTTACACAGAATTTAAAGCCTTTTCTTTAGTTATCCAAATGTGCTTATCCCACAAGCCACTTTGTGAGGACTAGATATTTAGGTTGGAGAAAGAGGGAACTTAGTAAATGTAGTGCCAATAGATCCTCCATTTATTCACCCTCTCTCTCTAATGAAAGACAATTACTTTTAAAATTGAAATAATGTAAAGGGCTATCAATTTATAGGGCTGTCACATGACTAATTGCATGTATTAATTCAAATTAATCAATTCAAATATATTAATTTCAATTACAACACAGAATACAAAGTGTATAATCCTCATTTTATATTTATTTTTATTTCATTGTAAAAAAGAAATGATAGGTTTTTTTCAATTTACCTCATACAAGCACTATTGTGAAATCCCTTTATCATGAAAGAGAACCTTACAAATGTAGAATTATGTACACAAAAATAACTACATTGAGAAATAAAACAAAGGACAATTTTAGAGCATAAAAGTCCATTGAATCCTATGTCTTGTTCAGCCAATCACTCAGACAAACAAGTTGGTTTACATTTTCAGACGATATTTCTGCCTTCTCATTGTTCAGAGTGTCACCTGAAAGTGAGAATAGGCATTTGCATAGCACTGTTGGTATCGCAAGATCTTTAAATGCCAGACACACTAAATATTCATATGTACCTTCATGCTTCAACATGCATCTATGCTGATGAAGGGATCTGCTCAATAAGGTTATGTCTACACTGCACTCTAAACTCAAAATAAGATACGCAATTTGTGCTATGCAAATTGTGTACTTATTTCGAGTTTATTTTGAAATAGGCTATTTCAAAATGTGGTGCTGTCTACACACCACCACATTTCGATAATAAAGTGCTATTTCAAGACATCCCTTAACCCTCGTGGAATGGGAAATAGCTTGCTCATTATTTTGCCGAAATAGCTTGCCTGTTATTTTGAAAAACATTTTGAAATAGCACTGTTGGTATCGCAAGATCTTTAAATGCCAGACACACTAAATATTCATATGTACCTTCATGCTTCAACATGCATCTATGCTGATGAAGGGATCTGCTCAATAAGGTTATGTCTACACTGCACTCTAAACTCAAAATAAGATACGCAATTTGTGCTATGCAAATTGTGTACTTATTTCGAGTTTATTTTGAAATAGGCTATTTCAAAATGTGGTGCTGTCTACACACCACCACATTTCGATAATAAAGTGCTATTTCAAGACATCCCTTAACCCTCGTGGAATGGGAAATAGCTTGCTCATTATTTTGCCGAAATAGCTTGCCTGTTATTTTGAAAAACATTTTGAAATAACAGGTAGCTTGTGAAGACATGGGGGAGCTATTTCAGGATACCTCTGGTGCAAACAGACACATGTTCATTTTCATCATCTGTGTCAGACACCACCAGCAGAAGTGCCACACTGGAGTGTTGCTCTTTCAAGGCATCTGAAAGCATGCTCCTCACTTTGGTCCCCCTCAAATTTTGGAAGAAACTTCAGATTTTTAAACCTGGGGTTAAGTGCTATAGCTATCCTTAAAAATCTCACATTGGTATCCTTAAAAATCTGACATTGGTTTGTCAAATCTTCAGTGAATGTGTTCTTAAAAAAGAATGTGCACTAAGCCATGCGTCCATAGGTGTTGAATTAGGTGTGTGGGGATGCTGCAGGATCGCCAGGTTTTGTGCCTAATGTCCCAGTCCATGGACCCATGTCTCTGCCATCAAGTATTACACTGCTGCATAGTGGGGCTGGTGACTGGGCCCCTTGGCTGTTGTCCCTGCCAAGTCCCACTGATGCTTAGGGACTCTGCTACTGGCCCCAGGATCCTCCCCAGCCATGGGCCCCACACGTGGGGTCCAAGCTGCTGATTTGGGATCTTACTGGGCTGCTGGCTCTGAGGTCCTGGCTGCCAGCATCAGCTCTAGGGGTCAGTGAAAGGTGCAGACAGAGGTAAAATGGGGGTACACTCTAAAAACTGTTCTAGTATCACTGACTATAACATGAAATATATGGCAGAATACAAGTAAGACAGAGCTGGAAACATACAGTTCTCTCCCAAGAAGTTCAGTCACAAATTGAATTAACATTTAAAAAAAAAGAGTACCATCAACATGAACGCATGACATCTGGAATGGTGAGCAAAGCATGAAGGGGCATATGAATGTTTAGCATATATGGCAAGTAAACACCTTGCCATGCTGGCTATAAAATGACATACGAATGCCTGTTGCCACTTTCTGGTGACATTATGGATAAGAAGCAGGAAGTATTATTTCCTGTAAATGTAAACACACTTGTTTGTCTTAGCGGTTGGCTGAACAAGTAGGACTGAATAGATGTGTGCTCTCTGAAGTTTTATATTACAGATTGAACCTCTCTAGTCTGGCATCCCTGGGACCTGACTAGTGCTGAACCAGAGAATTTGCCACACTACATTAGGTCAATATTGTCTAGCAGTATTACCAACACTTCCAGTGCTTACTGGGCTCTTAGAA